TATGCTGACTATTAGTCCAAGTTTTGGTTTTGTTCTTACTTTTGTTAATATTTTGATTTTCTGTTGTTCCTTCCTCGCAAGATATCGTATCTTTACATTTATTAGGAAATATTTCATTAAGGTGCAATTTTGACCAATTGGCCTGTTCATGGAACACAGCTGTTCTGGATACTATAAATTTGTTATTACTATCAATAAATCTGTACCCTTTGGTTCCAGTTTCGTATCCCATGAATCTTAATCTCCTGGATACGTTTTCTCCCTTTCTCCTCAATTGTTTAGGTATGTGTACGTCTGCAGTGACTCCAAATATGTGCATGTGTGATAATTTGGGTTTTCTATTGTACATCACCTCATATGGTGTCTTATTCACAATACTGGACCAGGTTCTATTTTGAGTGTAATTCGAATAATGTAATGCCTCTGACCAAAATTGTTTGCCTAAACCAGCATCCTCTAATGTGCACCTAATCATGGTTTGTAGTGTGGAATTTTTCCTCTCTGCAACTCCATTTTGAAATGCAGAAAAAGGATTGGACGTGAAATGTAACATTCCTCTATCCTTTAACCATTGGGAGAATTCTTTAGACATGAACTCACATCCCCTATCTGTCATAATTTGCTTTATTCTGATATTATGTTGTGTTTCTATACGTTTGTAGAATTCCTTAAATTTCTGAAATGTTTCATCCTTGTGCTTTAATGTGTAAACAAAACCATATCGGCTGTAGTCATCCACTATTGTTAGGAAGTAACGTTTTCTATAGGTAATTGAGGGACTTAATGGACCAACTAAGTCCATATGTACCAAATCAAAAATATTGTTAGTTGATCTGTTAGATTTTTTTGGTCTGGGACTGGTTTTTAGTTTGGTGGATTTACATACTGAGCATTCCAAATAATTTTCACAATTTTTTATTTTGACACCTTCTGCGTGTTCAGTCATTTTTTGTACTACAGGAAAGCTTGCATGTCCTAACTTCCTGTGTAAGATGTGAGCACACTCATCATGAATTGGTTTACCTATTTTTGGTTTCTTTTCCTTGTATGTGTTTTTGTGATCATGAGTTATTCTACACTCATCATTGTCACTGTTACTGACATTTTCATCATCTGCTTCAATACAATCTTCCATATTTGAATCAATGTTATGTAAACATCTTTCTTTAGTTATCAGATAGGGTAGACCTCCTTTTATCATTACAGTACCTACATTTGTTTTGTTCTTTTCTATAGTTGCTTTCCCTTTTGAGAAAACTATATTGATATCAGATTCTCTGCTTAATTTTATGGCACTTAGTATGTTGTGAGGTATTTCTGGGATTAATAATACCCCCTCTATTTTCCCTAGACCAGGCAAGGTCACATTTCCTTTGCCTAGTACTTGAACCTTTTCTTGATTAGCTACCTTTATCACAAACTTATCTTCTATAAATGAAGATAATATACTTTTGTTGTTGGTGGTGTGATTTGTTGCACCAGAATCAATAAGCCAATTGTTATTCTCATCCTGCTGTGTTCTGGTGCTGTCTTGTTTATTTAGCCCATTCAGTGACCCAGATTTCCTCTCTTTTGAATTTTCTCTACCCCCTCTACCTTCTTTGTAATTTGGTGGGCTTCTATATTTGTGTCTATCTGTGGAAGATTGTCTGTAATTATATTTGCTCCTATATTCTGGTCTATGTCTCTCTCTTGAGACTTTGGGGCAGTCTCTTCTACTATGTTCCCTGGATCCACAATTGTAGCATCTAAAGGCCTCATTATGTTTATCTTGAAAGACTACTTTCCTAAAAGGTTTGTGGTTTGTTTGGTTACTGGATCGATTTTTTCTTGAATTGTCTTCTGCTATCAATTTGTTAGATAGACTTTCTATGGATAAATATCCCAAATTAATGGTATCTAAGTGTGACATAAAGCTATCCCATGATGGATCAAGTGAATTGATAATAACACTTTTCATTGTTTGATCTGAAATCACTTCCCCCCTCAATTGTAGCTCAGCTCTTATTTTGTTTAGATTTATCAAATGCTCACTTATAGAAACCCCTGGTTTTACTCTAGAGGAAAAGAAATCCTTAGACATTCTTGTGGTTGTAGCTACGCTATCGCTGTGAAATAGATTAAACATGCATTGAATTATTTCTGATACAGTTAGGTTTGGTTTGATGCTATGATACATTGCAGGAGACACGCTAGATATTATTATGAAAAATGCTCTATGATGTAAACAATCTATTTTTAAAGTCCAAGGTCTTCTTGGAGGGCTAGTTATAAAGAATAGTAAATTTTCTTTCATGAAAATAACCTGAAGCTGTTGATACCACTCTTGTAAATTAATGCCATCAATTCTAAGTTTTGGGAAGTCACTGGGTAAGTTACCTACATTATTCTGTCCATTACTTACAACCTGGGGCAGTCCGTGATCTCTCAAGTGCAGGAAATTACAGAACGGCATTGGGATGCTTGCAATGAGTCTGCGCGGTTCTCTGGCCAGTTCAAGTCCTTCTGGGTCGTCTACGTAGTTTCGCACATGCGCGTTGCTCATTTCTTCTTTGGTGGCGTCGTGGAAGGTTCTCTCCCTTTCAGCTCTCTCGATCCGCTCCTCCTCAGATGAGTCGGTCTCTGGCTCGGTTTTTGGGGTTCTGGTGGTGGCGACGGTTCTTTTCTTCTTTTTGTGTGCGTTGGTATTCGATCTTGTCTGTGGTGTAGGGCGAAATCGGCATGGCTCTCTGGGCTCGGGCGTCGTCGCTTTCGAAGTCAGGATGGGAGCGTGCAGGTCTTGAGTCGCCGGTTTGATTTCTTGCTTCTTCGTAGATGTCTTGGTAATTTTCAGTCTTGGCCCAAAAGCAGCAAAAAGCGTTTTCATTGCTGATTTTACTTGAGATTTTGTTAAATCGTCTTCACTTTCTGATTTTGGATCATCTGAAGAGTTTGAGACTTCTTTCTCACTTTCTTCGTCTGATAGTGTTTTTCGCGCCAGAAATTTTGAACTGAGCGTTTTGATTGGCTCTGCTCCATTCTCTTTTGAAGTTCGTTGAAACCAAGATGGCTGCCATTCAAAATTTCGCGCGGGATCACATCTTTTCTTTTTAACAACTATTTTCTCAGTAGTCATCTCACTTACGGTTTTTTGATCTTTGGGTTTTTCTTTAATGACGTTTTTCTCTCTCGCTGCTCCGCTGTTCTTCAGCATCTCCTGGAGGTCCGCGATGAGACTTTCATCATTCTTTTGGCTTTTTAGTATCTTTAATATCTCTGACCTGAGTTCGTTATTTTCTATTTCGATTTCTTTCTGGTCATTATTTTCACTCATTAGTTCTTCTTCTTCAGTGGTGTATTCTTCGGATTCTCTCGAAATCGCATTGGTGGATTCGTTGATCATCTCTTGATCAGTTTCTATTTCTTTGCTGTAGGCCCTGGTGTTGGGCCTATCTTTCTTGGACATTTTTAATTACTTATTGAGTCAATTAACCATCCTCTGCTACCAGATTGTTGCAATATTTTCAGGATCAGACTCAATAAAGATAATAAGAGTTAGAGCTTTAAATATATTTCTTTTTAATTATGATAGGCATTCTATATTCACTGAATATTCAAGGTAGAAGCAAAGAGAATGGTGAGGGTGGCTCCTTATATATACAAGGGGTGGAGCTAGGAATGGGAGTGGTAAGTTATGAATACATTAAAGTCCAAAGAATAAGTTAACCTCTGATGTTCCATATATACATTATTTACACATTGGAGAATAAGGCATTTACATCTGACAAATACTTTTTAAAATTTTGGAGGTCAGAGCTTCCCTCAAGTGGCATTAGTGTTGCCAGCCCATATTAAAACAGTATCTTCTCTCCCCTCCCCTCCCTTTGAGATTTCAGTTTATTATGAACAAAAAAATAGCTTTGTATATTTTCATGATGTATATTACTTCCTTATTCTAGAGGATTAAAATTACCATCTTGCTGTAAATAGTAGGAAAACTCTTGAAAACTGTGGCTCTGGTGTCAGCTTCCTAACCTCTAAATCATTGGGGGATTTATTGCAATATGTCAGCATCTTTTTAAGTAATATGTCATTTCTATCTACATCACTATAAATTCTATTTTGTGAGTTTTAACTATTTTGTTACCTTGAAGGTTCAGCTATAGAGATTTCTTTCATATAAAGTATAAACTCATAAGTAATTTATATTCTATGTTCATTTCATATGTAACACTGAAATTGTGAAGGGTTGTGCAATAAACTTTCTGCTGAGATTTAGAATGCCTATTGACTTTGAAATAAATCCTTCTGTATTCAGTAGAGCCTATTCCCATATGTTTTCTTGGAAATAGGTATTAGTGAACTCAGTGGTACTTATTTCTGAGTAGATATACACTCCTTTATTTCTATAATGGTAAAATGTGATCATAGTGTCTATAGTGAATACAGTCAGAAGGGCAGTAGTTCCTTCTGTTTAACTGTTTGCAAAACAAACTGGTTATAATCAAGCTTGTATACTGCTTTTTCACAGATTTGAGTTTTGTGTGGGTAGGTGTGTAAATCTCTAAACTACATTTTAGAGATGTTACAGAATTTTGTTTCAGATCATTGTTGTCAAACCATAATTTAAATAAAACAGAATTTCCTGAATTCTGAAAAATCAAAAAGCCAAGGCAAGTTTTTGCATGAACATGTTGTTGTTGAACAAGGAACAAAGATATAAAATTCCATAGTTGTATTGTCTTCAATAAGGAGTTAATGGATTTATTAATGCATGTATATGTGTGTGTGTGTGTGTGTTTGTATGTATGAGAAATTTCTAGAGAAAATTAAAAGTAGCCCCAAACCAATCCTGTTGTATGCCTCTGCAGTTGTTTGGGCAAGTAAATAAGACACTTTGAAATTATAGCTTATAATTGGGTTTAAGGCATGCAGTCAGTTCTAAATTGCTAATAGGTAACAGAATAGCAGTAAAACTAACAACATGATGTATTTTATTTTATTTACATATTTAATGTCAGGATTCTTTAAATCAGTTTCTTAAAAAACTGGAAGAGGAGAAGAAAAGTCTCCAGAACCAACTGAAGGAGTATGAACTTAAACTGGATCAAGAGGCAAAGGTCTGTATTTACCATAGTTCTTATAAAATATATCCATCTTAAGGTGCTTCATGGTCGCCTGTTATACTGATGAAAATAATTCAGTCACTATATATACCGTGTTTCCCTGTTTTATAAGCCTGTCTTATATATATATTTTGAACCCCGAAATAAGCGCTTGGCCTTATTTTTGGGGAGGTCTTATTGTTTTGGGGCACGTGGAGCATGATGGAGCTCCTCTTGCCATCTTACCTGATTTTCAGCTCTGTGTTTAAATATTTTCAAGGAGGGCTTATTTTCGGGGGGAGGCTTATTTTAGCACATGCGCTCAAAAGCCCGATTGGGCTTATAATCAGGGGATGTCTTATTTTCGGGAAAACAGGGTACATATGCATCCTGGACTATGCCTATTCTCTAATTTTCTGTTTTATTCCCTTATTTCTTCTTTTGGAATTTAGGCTTACCATAAAGCCAATGATGAACGCCGTGCATACTTAGCAATGATCACACAAGTAAGTCTAAATATCTCTGTAGGATGATAAGAAAATATTTTGTCCTAAACCAATCATTACTTTTTTCTTTCTGGACTTTCCTTGTCTATTTTAAGCTGATTCACCTCTTGGCCAGAAAATTCTGCAAAGCTGACTCAGCTAGACTAGCTGGAGGGAGATGTTAATCAGTCTTGCCATTTTCTTTCTGCCCTTATAAACTTAAAAATTGGATATATGATGTTACTGATCCTTAACTCTTAACTAAACTGTGTATTGTATTAAAGTATATTACTTGTACAGTCATAAATTTCATTGCTCATTATTCTCCTGCCCCTGGTTTTTCCTTTCCCAAGCCTATTAAAATTAGTGGAAGCATTACATCTGTACAAGAGCACTATGTTGTGGAAGATAAACTATTTAATGAACCTATAAATGTAATTTTGTTGAGAGTTTTGCTTCAGTTTACAAGTAAGAATAAATTAACCTATCTTACCTATCGCCAATCCATGGTATTTACGTATACTGTATGTTCATTCATAAGTCACTTTGGATGTAACTTTCTGTTTTTTAAAAAATGTACAAATTCAATGTTTGGGGCCTATTTTTAAACGTCCAAAACGGAATTATAAGTATTATTTTCTTGCTTCATCTTTCCACTTTGCTTTGCAAAAGTCCTTGGTGGAACTTGCACTATTTTTCCACATAATAGGACTAAAATTGCTTTACACAGAGATGCAAACGCGTTCTAAGATATCATATGACAAGGCATTGTTAGGCTACAGTAGCCCAAAACCAGGAGGAATCTTTTCAGACTAGCACATTTTATTAAAATTTATAAAATATATAAATATATTTAATGTTTTTTAAAAAGAAGGGTGGTTGAAAGTGAGAACAATAATTAAATTCCATTTTTAAGAATAATCTCCATTTGAATCTAAAAGTTTATAAAGAACCAGTAGGGCTTCCTTTATAAAAATAGGGTGCATGATAGGATGCATGATACACTAGATTAAGGCCATGTACTTTCAACAAAATTGTTATTGATCGATTCCTTTATCTCCCAGGGATCTTGTTTATCAGTACTGTTTTTGTCTGTTAAAGTCCTAATCTATGTTCCTAGTGTTGAACTGAGCTGATAGTAATTTTCTCTGGAAAAATGAATACAGGGAGCAAGGTGACTTTCTTGTCTTGACTAACACCATACTTTATATTCCATTTATATACTATTTCAAACATAACCAATTCTGAGCAGTTTATAGACCTTTAATAAGATGAAAGCTGTATCAGCATAAATACTTGTATGTAAGAGATTTACCCACTGGAGGAATGACAAATACAAGCCCTCTTATTCTATAAAGATTTACTGAAAAAGCCAAAAGAAGTGGAATCTATCTGATGTCAGGGACAATGCTGTTCTAGAGGGGTGGCTCAGTGAATAAGAGGACCTGAACCCAAGATCCCTACAAAAGATCAGGCTCTGGAGATAGCTCTTTCTTCCAAGTCTTGATAGATGGGCAATGATTTGGGGGAATAGATGATCCATAGATAACCAGGTCCTGAGCTGGAGAAGATTCGTAACACGTCAACCCTAATTATTGTAACACCATGATGTCATTTGTTGTTGCTGCTTAATACAAGCCTATCAATTTAACTATGGAAAGAAATTGACTTTCACAGTGTATCAAATTTTTCAAAGGCAGGTAAGTTCAGGAAACAAGTACCACTGGATTTTAAAAAATCTTTAGAAAAGATTTTTTTATTAGTAGTTTTGTACCCTAAAAGAGAAGGGTGGCTCAGTGGCTAAGATGCTTAGCTTGTCAATCGAAAGGTCGGCAGTTCAGCGGTTCAAATCCCTAGTGCCATGTAACAGAGTGAGCTCCCGTTACTTGTTCCAGCTTCTGCCAACCTAATGGTTCGAAAGCACGTAAAAATGCAAGTAGAAAAATAGGGACCACCTTTGGTGGGAAGGTAACAGCATTCCGTGTACTTTTGGTATTTAGTCATGCTTGCCATATGACCACGAAGACATCTTCAGACAGCACTGGCTCTTTGGCTTTGAAACGGAGATGAGCACCGCCCCCTAGAGTTGGGAATGACTAGCACATATGTGCGAGGGGAATCTTTACATTTACCTTTTTACCCTAAAAGAAAACATGTTCAATCTATTATACAGCTCAACTTAATTTTTCATGCTTCCCCGTTTCGCTTGTTTGAGGTTCTTATTTGCAATGATCCCGTATCTCTCATATTTACAACACCACCTACACATTACTATGAGTGTGGGTTGTAGATATTGATTATAGAGTATTTTAAATTGTATTAACAAGGAGCAGTAGATAATCCTTTCAACCAATATTCCCAAGTCTCTGGTTCTTACTGGAAATATCTGTTCTCTACTAATACTGAAATTAATATCTGAAGTCCAACATGCAATTTTGTTTTGTGCCAAATTTCTTCAATATCAAGCTGATGTGTGGCTGCACTTTAATCACATTTTCAAACCCTTTATGTAGCTAGAATTGTTCAATGTGCCAACCAGAGTAGTCTAGAGATAGGTTTAAAGTTTTCTGTTTTATGAGAAAACAAATAAATAGCAGTTTTTAAGTTTTTCTTGTAATTGGAATGTCTTCTTATTGTTCAAAATTATAGACCTATAGTCTAATAATATTTTTCCTCATGAATCAGTAAGCCTCTGAGTAATACAATGTCCATGCACATGTGTGTGTACCTCTATATATGTTATTGTGTAATAAAGAAGATATACTTTGTCTTCTATTGCCTCAAAGAAAGTGTTCTTTAAATAGTGTTAAAAGAAAATAAAGATACTGTATTTTACCCCTATTATACAACTGCTATTCTTTTCATCATGTACAAGTCTAGGAAGAAGGCTGCAATTAGCCATGAATCCATGTATTTAAACCAGCAGGCAAATGGTTCACTCTGTATAATTATCTCTTGTCTTATAGAATGAGGTGCATTTGCTGAAAAACATTTCCATTTGTAAAACTAGCTCTTAGTGCATTTGGATTTTGTAATAAATGTATATACATTGCAGAGTGAAAAGAAAAGGGGTGAAATCAATTACTGTATCTGGTCTATGGACATCTTCTCTTTTTAACTTCTGCATTCAGTAAACACTTAACTGAAAGCATTTAGTTTAATCTGTGAAGATTCTAATGCCTGAGCATTGGAAACTGGATTAATAGCTGATTGCTATTGAGATCTAAATAGGTTCCTTTTCATTCTTTTTCTTTCTATGTTTGTGTGTTCTGTTTTAAAAGGAAATCGTTTTGCTCTCTATTTTCAATAGAAGTAGGTGCTGTTAGAGTAGCTTACATAGGTGTTTCTGTTGCTGAACTTGCCTAGATGGTCTATAGCAGTTATTCCTCATTTACTCTTAAACAGATCTTTCAACAGTATCCTTTCAACTGATTGCAGAATGTGCAATGATATTTTTATTTACGTAGAGCGCAGTATACTTACTCCCTGTTATTGGGTCTATTCGGTTTGAATAAACTAACTTTGTGCCAATCATTGGTGTCATCGCATCAAGTTTCAGTAATGTCTGTGACATCAAATTTGTTTTCTTAAGTTAGGATTGCTAGTTCTCTAGTATTTCCTAAATTCTGTTCATTGGTATATAAATTTGAGATTTTGAGTGCCAGTCTGTTATAATGTTGCAAACAGAACTGATCCTCATCTAGTGCTTCTCTCTTTGTGTTCTTATTTTTTGGCCCTGGTCCTTGGCTATGTTTCAATTTGGCACTTTACTCCTGACATTTTGGTGAGCCCCTGCCAAACACTCTCTTTATTTTAATAAGATGTATCCCAACTCTTCCCAGTAGTCTTTCATGAAAGTAGCATAGGCCATTGTGTAGAATCCAAACCCATATTGGCAATTTAAGTTGTTATCTCCTCTTGCTCTATGGCCCTCATTATGTTCTACTTCCAGGTTAATGATTGGGGCTAGTCCTAAGTAATATCCTGCAATGATTATAAAATGAGCTATGTGCCACATATTTTAATGCAATTTTTGGATCATAGTTCAAATACTAATGAAGTATGCCTACTATGTTTTTAGAGCAGCCTTTACAAACCAAGCATTCTATCCAGATATTATGGCTTTGCTTCTCCTTGACTGTTGACCATATTTTTTAACCCTTGTAATTCCAAACCATTAGAGATGCAAATTATATGGATATGGTATTGGGGAGGAAAGTTTATGAAGAGTAGGGCTTAATATATATTGACTTTTGCAGATATCAGGATCTCTAAAACCATTAGAGAAACAGAAAATAGATGCAGTTGAAATGAAGAGGGAGAACCAAGTTCTGAGGTAAATAGTTTTAATTAATGCTTTAATGGCTCTATTACTCATGCTAAGATTTTGGACTAATAGCAGGGTGACACATCCCCAAAATGTCCCTTGACCTTGGGCCGGATTCTTCCTCTTAGCCCGGTCTATTTTGTAAATTACCTAATGCTGTTCACATAGCACATGAAGCTAGAAAGTGAATTGTTTTGTTTTGGTTATCGTTACCTATGGTTAACCATGGACCAAAGGAGATCAGATTCAAAGTCCTGTCTAAAGGTCATTGGAATGAGTTGTAATTTCTTAAGCCAGTTATAATGGGATATTGTTGTGGATATAAAGTTAGGAAAAACATCATACATACATCTTTAAGTGTTAAAGATGCAAAGTAAACTTGAAGTAAATAAATAAGCTCAGTTTTGTTTTATTCAACAGTCCATAATTTGAAAAACACAGCTTAATATAGTGTATATTTCCTGACTAGGTGGCTCAGTGGCTAAGACACTGTGCTTGTCTATCAGAAAGGTCGGCAGTTCGGTGGTTCGAAGCCCTAGTATAGGTTTCCTGCGTGAGCAGGGGGTTGACTAGATGACCTCCAAGGTCCCTTCCAACTCTGTTACTGTTACTGTATACTTGGCTTATGTATTACTTTTCAATCCTAATGCCCCCATTTTATTAGTACGCACGCAGTAAAACTTGAGAATACCATTCAAATAACATGGTTTTGAAAAATTATGAAATAAAATAAAAGACAATTTTATGTATTTAATTAAAATTTAGTGCAAGACAAAAATGGCTTTATGGGTCTGCAGACATGATGCTAAATTCAAGCTTACATTTTTACTTTAAAACAGCTGATAACAAAAACAGAAATAATGAATTATCATCTTTAATCCTATTCCAGCTTCCCACTTTTTAGAGACATTAGTTCCTACCTTATCTTTAACATCATAGAGCTGGCACAAATCCCTTTTATATAATAATGTGGATAATTTTAAGATGGCACTACTCCACCTCCTAATTACTTTATGTAGGTTTGTAAAAGTCAGACTTAGTCTTTTAATTATATAGGTATCTCAAAAAGTAGTCTATTTCTCTATTATTAAATATTCATCATGAAAAGAGCCAACCTATTTTGAGGGGTTTAGAATGTAAGACTTTTGGAGTGTGGTATTTCTGTGATCTGCTCAAAGCAAATAATTATTGCATTCATGATTATCCTTAGAACTAGAATTATGTGTCCCATTTTGAAAATCAAATCTAGCTGTCTCATCTGCTACAATTTAAAAGCGTGGCTAGACACAGATTAAGACTTTTTTTGGTCAGTTTTTTGGGCATTTCCAACTAAATGTACTAGTGTATTTATAGTAAAATAGCAAACACAATTCAAACAGCTTACATTATATTATTATTTTGTAAACATCCTTTTCACAAAATTGGGAGATCAATGTAATATTTTTATTTAGGGACCTATAAAGCACTTTATTAAGAACTATCTGGACATCAGTATTTATTGCAGCTGTATATATGAGCAAAAAAATCTTTAGGATGTAGAAATCAATTGTTTCAAATATTATCGTAACAAGGGTGTCCGTAGAGTATGATTAAACAGTCAAGATATTGGCTACTACAGTGTGATCAAGGTACCACCTATTTTTTATGATCGTCATTTTGACTCTTATTCTCTTCTGCAAATCTGTGGTAGGCTGTTTTTTTTTTCTAAAAAAAATTTGAATGTCAAATCTAAAGGCAAGCTTCTAAATGGGAAATAATGCAATATGCTGATAGGCTCAAATAGTTTTCTAACAAGCAGCATGATTTCTTGGAAAGAGCTCAGAATATGGGTATCTTATGTGCAACAATACAGAATATGGGAGAATATTTTCTCCAGACAATACTTGACTTTTTAAAAAAATCCATGCCTTCTAAGGTCTTGCTGGAGGCAATTAAAAGCACTCTCTTTTTACTGCCTTGATTCTCACTTCATACTAAGACACAGTTTGTTATAACCAAGGATTATTTGACAAGCAATCACAGTCTCACTTCTGTGTGCTAAGCCATAATAGTCTGGATTCACACATTACAGTAAGCTCAAATCAAATGATTTCATTATAGCTTAGTGTGACCTATTTTAAGTTACGATAGAAGGAAATCTTATTGTCCAGGTGTAGTGCTTAAGTGCTTCCCTCCAAAAATAAATCCTGTATTGCATAGCTGACATTATTGTACGGTTTTGAATAAAACATTGGTCTGATCCAATCCGGTCTTAGATAAAATGGTAAAAATGTGTCAGGGCGGAAAAGAATACATGCTTCTGCTGTCATTGAAGGCAGCCATGTTAAAAGATTTCTTTAAGAGGAGATTGCTGTTATTGTAAAAGGGTATGAATCTCTTTCAAAACCAGCCAAAATCTGGTCTTGTCTCCCTTCTTAAAAAATAAATGTTCCATATTTTTTGCCATCTGCAAATGAGGTTGGCCATTTTGCTACAGCCCTGCTATCTAGTAGTGGTATAACAATTATCACAAAATGCCACGTTTCTATAGCAACTAGCAAGTGAATGTGTTTTCTGAATTTTCTTCTATTTTTTTTATATTTTAGGAGAAAGTGTAATATTCCAAGAAATCAAAGAATACTGGACCCAAAGAAGGGACCAATTAAAAAAACAGCAGGAGTGAAGCATCTTCCAAAACTGAAACTCTGATTGCTTATTCTAGAATTTCTCCTTTTATTGTTTATTTTGCCACTTGCAATTACAGTAAACACAAAATGTTATTTTAAAATAGTATTTTAAAGGTTCCTCAACTCAAACACAGGACTAGCACTGGTGATGTTACCTAATTTGTTTAATGAAACATCTGCAAGAAAACACCAAGGACCCCTCAAAGAGAAATTCTTATGGCATAGTCTCAAGATATACTTTCTACATATGGGAACAATGTTAGGAAGCATTCTAGTGGATTGTAAACGTATTGGGTCTGGCCTTTAATACATCACCCAGATCTAATACATCATTCTAATCCAAAAGCAAACAAGCTACTTTATGGCTTATGGTGTCATGTACAATTAGCCTCATTTCTTGTTGAAATGCAAGAAGCTATAGAAGTGTTTATGAGTCTGTATTCCACACTGTAGTTTGCCTTCTTTCAACTGGCTAAAGTGGATGCACGCACAACAGGAATTCTGAGATAAACAAGCTTTTGAAAAGTAGTTTTATTATAGAAAAGGCAGCGGAGCCACTATGAAAGAATGTCAACAATTTCTGTGAATTGAATGCCGGCCTTATTTATAGTAAAAGCAAAGTTTACATTCTTCCAGTTCAGTGTGTCCAGTCTGCACGGTATATTTGTCTTGAAACCACTCTTTTGTGGGGGGGGCACTGGGGTCATTTCTTCCTGTTCCTTGTTTTGAAAATGGACTCATCTGGTTCGCGCTATTTGCTCTTGCCTTTGAAAATAAGGCAGATATGCCTTGCCCAACTAAGTACTCCAGAGTGTGAATGACTAAACAACTCTAAAATTTCTTTGATCATGTGTGCAGAATCAGTATTCTGGTTGGTTCTTATTTGGAATCAAAATGAGAAGCCATATCATTTTTACTTGCCTCTGCAACAGACATTTGATGAGGAAGACAATGAGTTTCTATTTGGATATCACGCTAAATAAATCAAGCCCTGGATCATCCAGTGCTATGTGCCTTAAAAAACATGTGGCATATGTTTGGATATGTGTGAATCCAACCATTGTGATGTTTCTGTTTGGTAGCCAGTCCTTTATTAAAGAATTCTGAAAAGCAAGAACAAAACAGAAGAAATTTGATCAATATGGAATTATGGAATAAAAAACAGTTATTTGTGGAAGGTTTTGCAATAGTTCCTAACTCCTTTTAACTTACAAATCTCAAGTTATATTAAAAATATTACAGAACAAAATTCTCACTGATTACACCGATTTAATTCATGTATGAGTCATAAGCCATGCTTTACAATTTACAATAACTGAATCTATTCATCATGTTAAGTCAAACAAAACAATCCCTCTAACGGTTTATTGAATTTTAAAAACTCATTTCTTTTAAAATAAGATTTCTTATTTGTGAAAGGGACTATCTTACTATACCTTACATGGCATGGGCCTGGGGTACTTGCAGGATCACCTCCTACCGGCCTCCCACCGCCCAGTGCGTTCACATAGGGCTGCCCTCCTTCGGGTGCCATCGGCCAGACAATGTCGGCTGGTGGCGCCCAGGATGAGGGCATTCTCTGTGGCCGCACCAACCCTCTGGAATGAATTACCCACTGAGCTCTGGACGGCCCCGGACCTCCGCTCTTTCTGCGGTGGCCTGAAGACATGGTTTTTTCACCAAATCTCCTGATCTGCTGGGAGTTTTTTAGTTTTAACCATTGGGGATTTTAATTGGATTATTTTACCATTAATTATTGTTTGTTGTTTTTTATTGTGAGCCGCCCTGAGTCCTTCGGGAGAAGGGCGGCATATAAATATGAATAAAAAAATATCTTAATGGGTCACGCATTGTCCTAAAACCTGAGCTGGTTTGTTCGCTCTTGGATGAATAAACATACAGAGAATTGTGCTGGAAGTAAACGTTCTTTTATGACTACATAGAAATTGTGTCCAGAGCATATTTTTCCCTTTCCATTTCTTATGAAGTTAGCAGAACTGTCTTGGGAAGCTATACAGCCCAAGCTGTTACGTTCAGATTTTCCAGGAATTGTTGCTGAAACAGCTATTGATGTTAACTGTAATCAGTAATGCTCCTCATACTGAGGCATTCCTGGATCATTTTCTAAACCCATCCCAACCAATAATGTACAATAAACTCTTAGATTAATGAAGTGCTCAGTCATTTCTTTTAACACTACTGACATTTAGGTTAAAGAAATCTGGCTTTGTTTTCCTTATGGCCATCGAAATTACTTATGCATCCTTAGAAAGAAATAGATGGCAACAATATCGTTTTTCTTAGAAATAAGGTATATATTTCAAGAAACTCTCAGAATACTGGGCAGAGCTAAGAAATGGACTCCTGTTTCATAAATTTATCATAAGCACTGAGGGATGAAGTAAACTTCCTCATGACTGTATTTCACATTCTCTAAGCCAGCTATCGCAAATGATGGGGCCCTCCTGAAGTACAAATGTAAGCTCAAAATTCCCTAGCCAATATGGCCATTACTAGGAATTCTAGAAATAGAAATCCATAAAAATGTAAAACACTATGGAGCGGTATATAAGTCTAAATGCTACTGCTATATGCAAAAAGCAATTGTGAATATACACGTTATCTTTAGCTCTTTAAAACAATTGGGATTGAGATGGACTGGTATACTCATATGCAAATACAAACAAGATATTAAAAAGATGCTAAACTATGGTTTTTATCTAGAAATGACAACTGGATAAGAGACAGGAACAGATAATTTTTTTAAAAAAAATATAATCATTTAGTATTGAATTAGAAGAAGAACAAATAAAAGAAACAATGATAGCTTGGATAAAAATTTTTGGATATTCAATTGAGTTAGATAAATGGCAGCTCCTATGGGAAAGGAATTATAAATTAACAATGTCCACAGCATATAAGGAGAATCAATATAAAATGTTTTACAGATGATACATGCCACCTGAAAACGTGGCAAAAATGTTTAAAGATAAATCAGCTAAATGTTGGAAATGCCATCAGACACCAGGATCATATATGTGGTGGACATGTCCAGAAGCGAGAAATTATTGGATTAAAATTAAAACATAGTTAGAAGAAATGATACAACAACATATAGGTTTAAAACCTGAACTGTTCCTATTGGGTATCTTACCAGAGAAATTTAGTAAAGAAAATATATATTTGATTATACATGTAATAACTGCAGAGAGGATAGTATTTGCGCAAAGATGGAAAGCAGAAAATCCCTACAGAGGGAGAAATAATTAAGAAAATATTGGATTGTGCAGAAATGAATAGATTGACTTTGACTATTAAAGAAAGAGAGGAATCAGAATACTTTAAGATATGGGGACAATTTTACCATTGGTTAGAGATGAGATATAATAGGGCAGTGTTGTAATGAAATAAGCGAAGAAGAAAGAGGAGAAAGAAGATAGATAAATGTATTAATAGAAAAGCAAGAAATGTGGGAGAAATGTTATAATAAATGAAACAATAATATTAAGATGATAAATATCGGAGGAGTAAGAAGAAGACACAAAAGATGTACTCAGATAATACATTGAATGATTGATTATTATATGTTTGTCTAAAATTTTAAAAAAACTTTAAAAAATGTAAAGCACTATGGAGCGGTATATAAGTCTAAATGCTACTGCTATATGCAAAAAGCAATTGTGAATATACACGTTATCTCTAGCTCTTTAAAACAATGTGAAAAAATTTTTTGGGGGGGGAGAATCTATGTAAGTATAATAGGGACGTAAGCTTACACACTGCTAATCCTTAGTTTGTTTTAGCCTTGACTTGTACAAATTATGATCTGCTTTGATACGAATCATCACAAGCCATGATTTATAAAACACAAGAATTATGTTCGTTGTACGTCCAAATCCAGTGGTGCAGACTCCTTATCTAACTACTGACCACAAGGGGACAATACAGCATAGATAGATAATTAACTATTTACTCTCTTATCCCCATATCACTCTGGCCACTCTTTCTCTAAAAGATTGCTAACTTGAGGTAACTTTCTTCTGGCTTTCTTCTTGGGCATCCATGCATAGAGCACATGGATGTGGATAGCTATGTGCTAAACCCTAGATTATTGTGTGATGAACGTTTTTACTGGAAACAATAGGTGCAAAAGAGTATAATTTACACTAGATCAATTATTGTTTAATGATATTTTTTTCAGCAGCTGTAAACAAGTTTCTTTAGCATCAACACAAAAATGTAGGTATATCCAGTTAAAATAAATTTTGGCAGCTCAATATGGAGCCTATGTTTCAACAGCTTCTAAAATACCTGATATATTGCCAATACTGAATAATTCAATCTCATAATGTCAATTCTATATTTATCTAGATCAGGATGGGGCGATGATTTTCCTTTCAATCCTCTTCTGGTTTCCCAGAGGGCTGGTAAGAATAGGATAACTGGTTTATAAGAAAGGGGTGGTGGCAGAAAAGAGATCTACCATATTTTTCAGACTATTAAGACACACCGGAGTATAAGACGCACCTTAGTTTTTTGGGGGGGGGAATAAGAAAAAAGCTGATTGGGGATGGCTCGGCCTCCCGGAATACCCCCAATCAGCTGTTCCCTGGTGAACTTTAGCAACAGGTTCATTGGTTGTGAACTCTGCGCCTTGCTTTTTTTTCAGCCTCTGAAACCTCCGTTTCAGAGGCTGAGTGGGGCTACATTTGGACTATAAAATGTGCCCAGATATTCACTCTCTTTTGGGGGGTAAAAAGGTGCATCAATGTTAGGATATGGTGTATGCCTAACAGGTTGTCCAGGCAATATATGGACAATATATGTGTTCTATGACTTTAAATGAATATGTATTCTATGACTTTAATAAGTACTGCTGAGTCATTGTATCCTGATTGGATAAGCTCTGTTGTAAATGTATTTAAGAAGGGAACTGAAATGTAGTCATTGATGATATGCTACTATCGTGTGTGGATATGCTACCATTGTGGGTGGATATGCTACCATCGTGACCTGTTACCAGCATAAATGTTCTGCTATTTATTATCTACTGCTGTTTTGTATGGTAAGAAGACTTTTGTATCACTGGACTGATTTGACT